TTGTCCCTCTATCCGCCAGATTTTCTTTTAAAGTGGAAGTTAGATGTAAAGGCTTGATTAGATTCAGTTTCAAGATTTTTGGGGGTAAGAATACTTCACAGGTGGGACTGTATCATCCATATTTTATCACATCAGACTAGTCATAATGTCTGATCCTTGGATTCAGGTGGTGAGTCTAATCCCTCCCCCCCTCTGTTGTGAAGTTCCCCTTCAGTCTTTCATCTAGTGGTTTCAGACGTTGGTGAGCTTTATCTGAATCCATTAGAGATGACCCTTTCTTTGGAGCTGCATTTTTGAAGGTGTGAAGATTATTGATGTTATCTGTTCCATTTAAATCCAGTTCAGTTTTGATACTTTGATTACTCTTTTAAAAATGAAACTCCTTTAAATCAGAATGTATAGTACTAAAAAAATGTAAGGGAAGAATCTCTTCAACTTACCATACCAAGCAGTGTTGTTGTGTCGTACAGCTGAAGTCCAAATAGGTGACTAGGATAACAATTCAATTCTCCTGGTGAACTTAATTCACCTCTGCACAGTTGAATGTTCATGTAAACACCAACCTAGCACTTTACCAAGTGTGCTCTAAAGGAAAGTAGTCCGTCAAAATGCTCCCCCACCCCTCCGAAAATACAAGGGCATCTGGAGTTCAATAATTTGGGAACTATTTACCATACCCTCCTTCTTGCAGAAGGCCTGTGAGAAGTTCTGCAATCAAGCAATCTGTTTAAAACTAGCATTCCTCAAACTTAAATTTGACTATGAAACCCTTTCGTCAACAACCACCTTTTAATCTCAGAACATTCTTGAGGCAAGGCTGATCGAGGCCAAGTTGTGATGTCTTAAAAAGATTTCAAGCCCCTCTAGTCTCCCTCTGCCCTTTTACCTACTTGGTAGCAATCCCTCTTGGTGGGGAATTGCTTTTCTGTCTTCTCATTCTTTAGTCATCGTAGGAAAGCAACTAGTTCCACGGAGGAGAAGAAGCCAACCACTAAAATATAGAATATAATTCTTTTGTGTTTGGCAGTAATGAGGAGTGTCTTATTTATGTTTAGATGTCAGATCTTCGAAGGTTAATATAGGTAAATAATGGAAACATCAGGGAGTGACTTAATATCAGAAAGTCTATCAAAGTATGGTTTAAATTGCAGCATGATTTAACAGATATGCTAAACAGTAAGTTCAGTGTACTCTTTTTCCATAGAAAACTGGCTGTTTTCTTTGTAAACTAGAATGTTTGGCTGAAATATGGCTAAAATAGAATAAATAAGGTTGCAAAAACTTTGAAATACTGCTTATGATTATTCTTTCTCTTCCCTTAAACAGAAATGTACACTTTGCAGTCAGCCCGGTGCTACTATTGGATGTGAAATAAAAGCCTGTGTTAAGACTTACCATTACCACTGTGGAGTACAAGACAAAGCTAAATACATTGAAAATATGTCACGAGGAATTTACAAGTAAGAGAACAACAATTGTCCATTTTCTTAAACTTGTCAGTAAGTAACTGCCCTTGAATAGATGGCATTAGTTTACTTGGTCACTATTCCTAGGTGGTATTTAGCCAAGTGTAGAATACTTAGGACTCTATATAACGAAACAAGTACAACGATTGGCATTTTCCTCTGACAACACATCACTGGATTCGCATTCATTCAGCCAATATGCATCATGCTTACTAAGTGCGAGGTTTTGTGCTAGGAGCTGGGCATACAAGAATGATCAGTAGAGGCACAGACTGTGTCCTCGTGAAGCCTGTAGTCTAGTGGGAGAGACATATTAAATGGCCACATAAATAAATCTACAATTACAATCTACTCAAGTGCTAGAAAGGATACGTTACAGAGCACTAAGAGAGCATGTAACAAGGAGGACCTGACTTAGTCTGTACTGGGAGAGTGTTTAGGAATGTCCTTAAGGAAATAGAGCGTGAGCTGAAGAGCTTGATCTTCTTGGGCGAAGATCAAGGTGGGCATTGGGACAGTGTTCTAGGCAGAAGGAGCAGCCTGTGCAAGTCCCTAAGGTGGGACAGAAGAAGCAAGGGTGCAAATGGGAAGGTGAGTTAGGAGGCTCCTGCTCAGGGTCCAGGTGAGGATTCGTGGTAGCTTAGACTAGGATGTATTTGTGAAGATAGAAGGCCAAAGACACTCTAGGAAGGATGATGAAGGCATAAGGTTTGGAGATTTGGGATTACATGTTACCCTCTGTTTTCTGGGTCTTCCATATCAGTGTGCATCTATAATGGTTCCATTTGTTTGATTGAATGGAGAATAAGTTGGTGGGGATCCGTGGATTTTTCGACTTGCCTTTGTGAGTTGTAAAGCACTTCCTTACATTCCCAGGATGCAATAAACCAATGAGTAAACACCCTACTATTCTGTGTACAAAGCAGTTTATATAAACAGTCACCATGTATTTGGGTGACTGGATGAGGTGCTAGTGCTATATTATAAAATTTGCCAAACTTTGTTTAATAATAAAGGCAGAGCTGTTTTTCAAGTGAGTTCTATCAAGCCTTTAATGAACAGAGAATTCCAGTACTATTTAGAGAGGTCCAGCACATAGCGAAAGATGAAAAACTTGGTTCATTCTATAAAACTTTACATAACTGTGAGACCAAACCTGGTAAAGATAGCATTTAAAACAAAAACAAATAAGAAAACTATAGGCCAATCTTACTTTTATAAATAATATACCAAAGTCCTAAATAAAATGTTAGAAAATCAAGTCCCGTGCTGTTTCTAAAAATTTAAAGACTGTTCAAAATTAGGAAATATATTAATGTGATCCACTGTCATTCATAGAGAAAGAAAAATCCTATCACCTTCCTGGTGATGGTAAAAAGGCATTTCATAGCATTCAACATCCATTTCTGAATTTTAAAGTGCAGTACCAAGAGTGCCCTTGGGAAGCGAGGAGTCCTAATGGAGCATTTATGAGAAGACAACAGCAAAGAGCTTTATTTAGTGTTAAAGTAAAGGGACAGTGGTTCTTAACCAGGGCTGAGCCTCAGAACCACCCGAGGGTGAATAGGGCCCTCTTTAAAAATATTCATGTCTGGGCCCCACCCTCAGAGATTTTAAATTCAGTGGACTGAGGCCCAAACCATGATTTTCGATGACTCCCCAGGTTATTCTCATGTTCATCCATAATTGAGAACCACTATACCAATACACTTTCATTCAGATCCAGGAACGAGACAAGGGTACCAACTACCAATGTTACTTTTCAGCGTTCTTCTGGAGGGTTAAGCCGGTGCAACAAGAAAAGGAAGAAAAATGTATAATAAATACCATGAAGGAGCAAAATAAAATTGTCAGTATTTGTTATTGATGTCATTGTCTACCAAGAAAATCCAAAGGGACCAACTCCATTTACTAAAATTAATAAAAGCTCAGGTTGCTGAATATGAGATGAAGTTTTAAAAACTAGTTTTTTCCAGTAACAGAAAATGGAAAGGAAAAACGTCACCCTCCACCCCTGCCCCACACACATATGCACACCAAAGTTGAAACTTTAAAAAAAAAAAAAAAGTTTTACACAGGACCCAAATGGATAGTAAAATATATTATGTTCCTTGATGAAAAGTTACTCAACACTGAAAGATACCTATTCTCCTCAAATTATTCTATACATCAAATACAATTTTAATGAAATACAAAACGTTGATGGTTTTATCTAGAAGAGTGAATGGGATATTATTTTCTACTGGTAATGATTAAGTTACCTCATGAACAGGGAAGAACTAGAAGCTTAAACAAGACAGAAATTTGTTTTTCCCTGCAAGAGGTCCCAAGGAGAGCAGTGCAGATGTGTTAGGCTCTTATCTGTGTCATCAGAGACCCAGATTACCATCTTTCTGCTCTCTCATCCTTGGGGTGTCCTTCCATAGGCAGTAGGAGAAAGTGGGAGCAAAGGAAAGTGGAAGGACAAAGTGGCAGTTCCTCCAGCTGACGGGTTTTTAATCCTCCTTCCTGGAAGTTCCACACACACTTCTGCTCAGCATCTCATTAGCCAGGATTTAGTCACCTATCCAAAGGGGGCTGGGAAATGCACCCCCGGCAGGCACGTTGCTACCCAAATCTGGTTCAATGCTATGAAGGGAAGGGGGGAAAATAGGTACTGGGGTAGTCAACTAGACTTTATCACGTGCAGCCAAGAACAATTTTAATGAGATCAAGAGAAGAAATCCCTCATTAGATATCAAACCCCGTCACCTAGTAATTAAAACTGGTACTAGCTCAGTGACAAAGATCACAGGAAACAGATCCAGGTCTTCGTTGGGTAATTTCGGTGGTACTAGATCTGGATTATTCAGTATCTGATCTCTACACAGTTTATATAGTTGGCTCAATTTAGAAAACAGTTTGAATCCTTACCTCAGACTGTACCCCAGAATATATCCTCGATGGGCTAAAAACCTAACCTTAAGTAAAACAGAAAATGTAGGAGAAATTTTCTAGAATCTGTTGAGTACAGATGACCTTTCTAAGCATGATAGGAAACTTGGAATTTTTGACTACATTAAAACTAGGCTAAAGAGAACTCCAAATCCTTAAGAAAAACAGCCCAGTTTAGGGGGGAAAATGGGCAAAGAACATGAAAAGGCAGTTCATAGGAGAACTAGCCATGGGCTATAGGTATGTGAAAAGCCGCTCACCCTTAGTAATGAAAGAAATGCAAATTAAAACAAGATCTTACCAGTTTTTGCCTATCTGGTGGGCAAAGATTAGTAGGATTCCCATTACCAGCCAGGTTCCGGAGACCTGGGCATTCGCATTTGATGGTGAGTTGGAATGTACCTCGGTGCGATTTAGAGCAGTTGAGCATTGGAGACCACAACCTTTAGCCCAATAACGTATGTATTTTGCTACTAGTCTGCTTTGTAGGGATTTCTGCGGGGCAAGTGAGCAGAAAACAGCACAAAGATGTATGTGCGAGCAGTTCCGTTGGCCCGTTAATGAGCGCTCACTACCCTCTAGGGCATCCTATTTACTCACCTGTGCTTGAGGTTGGTGAGGTTAGCACAGATGGCGTCAGCGGGAGAGAGCACAGGCCCAGTACGGTTGGATTCACACTGGGTGGGTCCACAGGGGACCCACCGTGCCTTCAAAGCCGCCGACCCCATTGGAGCGAGCACCTGTTACAGGATAGTTACATAGGCATAGGTCATTTTCAGGTTACACCACACAGGGCCGGAGATAGGCTCATCAGAACATCATTCTCCCAGTCCAGCTTCCGTCTACCAGCTGGGCGGGTAGCAGCTTAGTAAAGAAGCGGGCGCACCATGCCCATTTTTGCTCAGTTGCCAAGGGAATATAGCTAGAGTTAACCAAAGGTGAAATGGGAAAAGAATTTTAGCCTTTCACCCACAATAGCAAAAATCAAGCCCCAAACAGAATGTCCATCAAGAGACTCCAGTTTTAGTACGTGCATGTAATGGAATACTATGCAGCAATTAAAGATTGAAGTAGATCCGTGTGGAGAGTCATGCAGAGGTATTCCATGGTCGAGTAAGGTGAAACAACCAAGTTGTGGGATCTATGTTGGCATATAAAAATACATGTGTACAAGTTGCGTCTATATACATAAAATTTTGAGCCACTTAACAGTTGTTACCTCATTCATTGCATGGGGATGGAAGAGAAGCGATTTTATATTCTTTATACAACTTACTGTTTAGCAGTTTTGTATTCTTTATATAGTTCAGTGGTTGAATATTTTTGTAAGCAATCCATTATTTAAAGTAGCATTAATAACTTAAAAATGGCAGGCCCACGCTAAACATCTAAAATCAGATGTGTGGAAAATTACTGTATTTAAATTCCAGCTCTATTAAGATATTGTAATAGCTATCCGTTTTCACTTTGGGAAAAAAATGAAAAATAAAGATAAGGGGGAAAAAGCTTAATGTGAACTTTAATTCTACCAGCAGAGAGAATTCTAAATCTTTCAGAATATTTTCTAGACATTTATGTGATTGTGTGTGTGCATTTAAGATTTTCTTATATACACTTTTATAATCTGTTCTCTACTTGCTGTACCTGAGACATATTTTTCTGTGACATTAAACAGTTTTTGGTTGCATAGTATTCCATTGTATGGGTCCGTCAGTTTAATCAGTTCCTTTTTTAGACATTCAGATGGTTTTTATTCTTTAGCTATTAGAAACCACATTGCAGTGACCATCTCTAAAGAAAATATTTACACTGGGATCCACAATGATTTGAATTACTCTTTTTATTTTTTCACATTGAAATTTGTTTCTAAAATCTGCTTATGGTGCAGATTCCAGATTTTTTCACAGGCTATTGAGTTCAAATGAGAGTCCACATGCAAGTAGTTTGGGGATAGAAGAATGCACAAATAGGAGGAAATGCAAGGAGAAATACTTCTGAATGAAGCGGCTTCCCTCTCCTACATGTGGCTTTCCTTCTTTACTGGCTCCTTCTGGATCCTGAATATATTCATTAAATTATTACATTAATCTATTCATTAGATTAAATGTATTTGTTCCTTAAAAAGGCGAGGGAAGATTACACAGTGATTCTGCTTATCCTGTTTTATTGTCTCTATTGTATTACCAAACTTTAAAAAATACGTATGTTTCTAAAAAGTCAGTCCCCCACCATAAAAAAGTAAATTACATGACAGGGATCTTGTTTGACTGGTTGACAGCTGTGGTCTTGGTGTCTAGATTGGTGAAGGATACATAATGGGCCTATGGAAGTGAAAAATAATCCCATAAAAAAGATTAAAATCTGTTTTAACAACAAAGGGCTCATCCTTTTAGAAAAACCTCTTATTGAAAGTTTTCAAAAGTATACAAAAATAGGATAGCGTAGCAGCTCCCCATCTCAGCAGCTCCCGAGTTATTGTCACACGTGCTTTCATCTGTTGTTTTTCTTTCTGACATCTGCTAAAGCAGAACCCCACACCTCTTGTCATTGTATCCCTACATACATCCGTATCTGTGTGCCATTATCACACGTTGTAAAATTAAGAGGAAGTTCTTAGTGTCATCTCCAAGTCCACGTTCACATTTCCCCAGTTGTCTTGGAAATGCCTTTTCAGACCTGATTTGTTCAAATCTCAGTATGTACAAGATCCCTACATTGCATTTAATGGATATGTCTCATAAGTCTCTCAATATAGAGCAATCCCACTCCACCCTGCCTTTCCCCCCTACTTGTTGCAGAACCCTGATAAGTCGTCCTGTGAAAGTCCCACATTCTAGATTTATCTTTTTGCTTTTTCATGATGCCATTCACCTTGTTTCTCTACCCCGTAATTTAGAAGTTGGCTCAAAGGCTTAATTCGGGTTGTATTTTGGAGGAAGATACTTTATAGGTGTACTATAAAGGAATTCACTCTTGATATTTGAACTCAGGTTGTTGGTTTGTTTTTAAGTGATTCCCAATATGTAGCGTTTGAAGAAGAGTACAAATTCTCCATAGTTCTTTGGAAATAATTGAAAATGTTTTAAGAATAAAAAAATAAGCAAAACTAGGTCGGAAGTCAGTTGCTATTGTTGCTCCCTAACCCCCTCCCTGCCTTTTATTCCACTCACACGTTAGAAACTCTTCATGTTAAACCTAGTTTTAGGTCATGTGTGTCAGAATTCGTATATGAATGTCTTACCTACTGCTGACCACAAGAGGGCACCCACTGAACATTTTTAAAGCATTGTTCCATCTTGTCATCTTGTATATCGTTGACCTAAAACTGAGCTGAGATCAGCTCACCCATTGATTACGGTGGGGTGGCTAACAATAAAACACATATGGGTACATACACATTAACTGGCCTACCTAAACCCTTGTCCTAATAATGCGCATTGCTTTTTTATTAAAAACAATCAATGTCAAGTAAACAGTGTGTATACCCACATAAAAGGTTGTCAGAACAGCCTGATGTCAAAGTTTCACTGCAGAGGTTATTTGCTGATTTTAAAGGGGAAAACCTACCTGTACAATGGAGAAATCTGGCTATCACCACCACTTTAACCAAATGATCCAACGGCATCACTAATAGTAATAGTAGGGCATTCTGAAACTAACATGCCTCCTGAAGTATGCAGGGTCCCCTATCAAATATCCTGGACTAACAAGGAAAAGTTGAACCTAGAGCTAACCAAGCCCTTAGACCTTATTTCCAGTTTATAGGAAATCCGGGGTAAGAGAGAACCAAATAAAACAGTACCACAGTTAGACAAATTCCAGAATGGTATAGTTGAAAAGGTAGCTGGTCTAACTTTTCCCAAGAAGTCAGTGTCATGGGAAGAAAAGAAGTTGGGAGGAGCCAGCCTAGATCAAGAGAGAACAAGCCAAATGCAGGGCCTGGAAAACTGTTAGGGGGCTCATGAAGGGCCAGGACACTAATGATGAAAAGCTATTTTGAGGAGTTTGAATAAAAATGTTTCATGAAATGTGAGCAGAAAGCAGCAGTATCTATAGCATTTACATTACTTCCTAAAATGTGCTTTTGAATTCTGTATCTGAAACCTAGAATTTGACTATTTTGTCTAGATGCCTGCAAGTTTATATTTTCAAGTTGGCTGGAAGCTTTATTTTTAATCTCAATGGGCAAAATGAGGAATCGCCTCATCTTTGGGCATACGTTAACAACTTTTATCCTAATTTTATGTCAGATGAACTTTTTACGATCTCATTAATAGAGTGCTTTCCTATCGTTTAGATAGAAATGGACCTGTAACTAATTGTAGCGTTTTTAAAAAGCATGGATGAGGAAACCCTTATTTTAAATGGGCACCAACCTCATCTACTAATGGCATAAATATATTCCCATCAAGAGCGACAAAACATTTTGAGATTTTTATCTTTCGTCATTGTAGACTATATTGTAAAAATCATAGTGGAAATGATGAGAGAGATGAAGAAGATGAGGAACGAGAGAGTAAAAGCCGGGGAAAAGTAGAAATTGACCAGCAACAACTAACTCAGCAGCAACTTAATGGAAACTAGGTATGAACGTTACTTATGTCGGATCTGTTGTCAGGATACAGTACTCGCTGATAAATACATGTTGGAGTAATGGTATATGCAGTATGATTTTTTAATGCTATTATGTTTAGTTAAGCATGTTACTAGAATGCTAAAGGATTGTGTAGGCTTGCATAGTTTTTTTTCTTTTTTAACTAGCTGATTTTGTAACAGTAAAAACAAGCTATCCACTTTATCAATAAGTGTAGCTGTAATGTCGAACCAGTAAGATGTTCTCGCTCCTCAGTAACATTATATTTATTGTGTTCCCCTCAAGCATCATATTTTACAATTTTTTATCATCTTTTAAACAGGTTCATGGGACAGAGTTAGAAAACTGGGAATGAATAAGACATCCATAACTACTATTCTTTTTTCACTGTTTTCTAAAATCAAAAAGGGTTTGTAACTTTTTACTGCCCAACTCTTAGATCCTTCATTGAACTGCCTAAAAACGTCTTGTTTGTTTTATGAGCCTTCACTAGATGGCAGAATTTGACATGTTGATATTACGTAGCTGTAGTTTGCAGTTTCTGGGAAGCAATCGAAACACTATTAACCCTGTGTATAGTGTCAACAGTTAAAGCAGACATTGAAATGAAGTAAGCTATATTTCTGGAATGAACAAAGTTCTACTGTTTAGAGTGTCTAAGTTTGTTTAGTGGATTCATACTCAAGGGAAAGCATAAGCAAATTTCACTTTACAGCGCAACCACGTCTCTGGTGGCAACACATGGGAATTTGTGGTCTTTTTTTTCACACTCAAGTAACGGAGGCTAGAAATGAAGAGAACCTTCTTTTTCTCTTGGCTTTGACAGCACATGCTAACAATCTCTTCCAAGAAGTGTGCTAAAGCTTTTCATTTCGTTCCTGTTAAAGTTGTTCTCACTGACCAGCATGCACTTGGGCGACTGGTGATTTTAAGTTGTGAGCTCCAGTGCTTATGCCAAAATTCTCTTGACAGTAAACCTCTTCTCTTATCATGTCCTACAAAGAGCTTCTAGCAAAATGATTGGATCCTTTCAAGTTTAAACTAAGATTTGGCAACAGCAAATTAAACCTCTTTAAGATTTAAAGGGTTACCACTCACTAAGGACTTCAGCCACCATGTCTGAAACTGGTTCCTCTCAAGTGCCGTGTTGTGTGGAGTACTTCATATACTGGCCCAAAGTACATAAGGAGGTCTTATGCGCTGTTGGAATAAAAACAAAAAAAACAAAAAAAACAAAAAAAAACAGTCTGCATAAAACAGTATTTATTTTTCATTTTGTGACCACTATTTTTTAAAAAAAAAATTATTTAATATTTTTAATGTTTTCATGCATTGCTTTGCTTATCTATTGACTAGGCTTTCGTGCCCTACGTTTTTTTCTGGTAGGGCTTGGTGGTGTTTTCTTGATCATCAGAGTTGTTTTTCGAAGCCTAAGAACCCAGCTGTTTAGAAAGGATTTTCACACTGGCATTTCTAGCTAGGGATATTTTCTTCCACTTACCTGCTGAAGCACATTTATATATTTCTTTATGGCAAAACCAAAAAACTTTAGTTGTGGTCTGCCTAATATTACCATAGCACCTCAATACCAAGGGTAGGGATCCTGATTTCCGAATTCTTCGTTAACCTACCACATAAAAGCAAATTAGCAAATAAGAAATAACATGTTAACTTGACTGTACATCAAGATATTCTGCAGCTTATGGAGAAGCATTTTTAAAATGTAACAGGTGGAAAATTACACTGTGCTTAATGACTGATTTTTTTTTTTAACTGCTAGTCCCTTAAGGTCACATTTGTCAAGTGTGTATTCACACATTCACTTAAATCAAGGGACTCAATGATTGCTTTATTTTAACCATCTTTTATTATTTTTAGAAGGAAACTAGCTTTAGTGGGGTTGCCCTATATGTTTTTCTTTTTGCTCTAAATATGCCATTGGGTTTTTGTGTGTGTGTGTGCGTGTATGTGATGAATTTTCAAAATTCACCATGACTTGAAGTGCAACGACAGATCTAGATGTTTGTTTACCAAGCTATGTGACTTTTCCCAAAGGATCTGTACTTTATTTCCTTACAACAGCTTGAAACCTGTTATTTTAAAATCTTTGAATCACTGTGTCTTGATCATTTTTATATTGTGTGCCATAGACTTACCCATGGAATAATAGAGCACCTTCATTTTTGGACAACTACTGTAATGATGTTTTTAGGAAAAATGGAAGGTGCCGGGGTAATAGTGGCCAGCCAATGATCATATCTTAGACTTCAAATACTATAGCTGTCAGTCGATGGATTTGTTCTGTAATCAAGTGTGTAACTTTGTATGGGTGTCTTCACCCCTTTCTCTGCCACTAGCAACCAGAATAGCACTTTACCTTTTGGTTGGCTAGAATAAGTGGCTGGCTACCTGTTTTTCTCACTGTGGTGTGATTGGCTAAACAGTCTTTCATTAAAAGTTGAAATGTAAATTGAAGTCACATGAAAAATCACCTTTGGTTGTAAACCTCCAATACTTTGATTCTCCATCCATGTTTTCGTCACATGCTGAGTAAAAAGTGCCTTACAATGTAAAAATTGTACAGTACTTATGTTCCCAAGTAGCATCATCATCTTCTGGGTAGTAATTACATTGTGGTATGAATATTTAGAAAAATGGACCTCAGCAGTGTATTTACTGTTCATCTCTTAAGTCCTTAACTGTAGTTTTAATAAGCATGACATTATTTGATAAGTATATAACATGTACATCATTTCGAAAAATACTGCCATGACTGTCTTTTACGCATATTTTAGCTTGAAATTTTGAAGTGTCTTTTCTTTCTTTCCTTTTTTCCCCTTTTGTTTTGTTTTGTTTTCGTTATTGATACTCAACAGTGTAATCTTTGCAAGCGTATATTGAAGATTATTCTGGAGCATTTATTGCCTTACCAGAACTGTTAGTAAGAAATGTTCTTTAGAGTAGAAAGATAGACTTGAGTTTCTATACTTTAATAAGAGCTCTTTGTTCCTGGGGGGAGGGGGGTGGGGGTGTGAATTTTACTTTCATCTCAATTTATTAAAAACCCACAGTTGAAATACATTTTATTTCAAAGATCAGCAATTTTAGAATTTCAGATAGTACTTGCTCAGGAGTACATGCTACTCAAGATATTAAGAGAATAACAAGCTATGTAGATCTACTGTTGAATCAGAATCTATGTACTTGAACAAATGTGTGAATCTTAAATATCTCAAAGAAAAAGAAAAGTGTTCTGAATGTTGTTGCTTTTTTGAAAAGCACTAAAGGTTAGACCAAGGTATACAGTTTTGTTCTAACAGGCATTTAGGTTAATTGTAAAGATAAGGAATGCATTATGGGTCAAAATCAAACATTCCTCTCATGTTATGTATATTTTGTTCCTGTTATATTGGCTTTATTTTCAAAATTGTAGTTTGTAGTATTAGTTTCCTTTTATTGGTATTCTTGCATATACTATTCATTCAATAAATGAGTTATGACTTTCATGTTTGTATGTATGTCTTTTTTGTGAAAGGGTATAATGAAGCTCATTTGTAGCGGCAACAGGATCGTGGTCCCTTTAGTCTTCATTTCAAGATGAAATGCCTAGTTTGTTTAGTGACTTGTCATTAAACAAGTATGAGAGAGAACAAAAAGTGAATTTGAGTCCAGTTCAAGGTTTCACCACATGAAGGTTTCATCATGGAGAGAAACAGCAGTCTTTCAAGTCCACAGCAGAACTGCGTTACACCTTGGTTCTTTTATTATTACCTGATTCGGGTACCTTTGGTTGAAATTGGGTCCTCTGGAACCTAGTTAGGAGGTGATTTTGAAAATGAACCAAAACTCCTAGTGTGGTTTATCTGGCTGGTAATAAGGATGGGGATTAATATTCTTGTGAAGGGATTCCACCTTATAGATTTAAATGTCCTCCCTTCATCATGGACAGCTGACTTCTAGTACAGTGCGCATATATTGAGGTAGTCGTATCCAGGGCAGAAGTCAGTTTTTAATTAGTGGAATGAGCTCATTCCATACAGACAAGTCCTCACCTGCATTCCTACTCGAGAGGAAAAAAATTACCTAACAGGTTCTGATTAATGCTGGAACTATGGGATGGTGTGCCTGACGGCAAATGTCACCCAGTAGTGCTTGGCATGCATGCATGCGTGTGTGAGTGTGTGTGTTTAAAGTCCATTATTTAGTTTCATTTTGGTTTTTTAAAGACTTCTAAAAAAGATTTTATCTAAAAATATATATATATATTTTTTAAAGATTTTATTTGTTTATTTGAGAGAGAGAGAGAATGAGAGACAGAGAGCACGAGAGGGAGGAGGGCAGAGGGAGAAGCAGACCCCCCCGCTCAGCAGGAAGCCCGATGCGGGACTCGATCCCGGGACTCCAGGATCATGACCTGAGCCGAAGGCAGTCGCTTAACCAACTGAGCCACCCAGGCGCCCAAAAAAAATATTTTTAAGTAATCCCTACACCCAAGGTGGGGCTCGAACTCACAACCCTAAGATCAGGAGTCACACACTCTACCCACTGAGCCAGCCAGGCGCCCCTATTACTTAGTTTCATTTTTATAACCACCATAAAAATCCGGAGAAGGGGGTTCTGTGGTTTTCTGTAGCTAATTGAAACTACTGACAGCTGGGGACCTTGGGGGGTTTGTTGTTTTTTTCTCCCCCAGCTGCAGTCATCAGCAGTTGCTGAGGTCATTCTAAAGTATAAAGCTGGTAGAATTTCCTAGGAAAATTCTTTGGCCAGCAAAGGGCCAGTCCATCTTTTTAAGGGAAAACCCTCCTTATTTATATACCGGAGTCCTCAGCTGTAGAGACAGTGCTGCTTTATAGATCAACCCATGTCACACAATTTTGCCTTGTTTAGATAATGAGGTATCTGGACATTAAGGACGTAAAGCAAAAATGTATTCTCGATTTCTATTCAGAGGGTGAAAACTCTAAAGTTACTTACGAAAGTTAATGATAGCATTTAAAGTGTTACACTGTAGCAGACATGTTCTGCACATGGTCAGTGTACTGAAATCATTTAGACCTGGATCTTTGTCAAAAGATAGGAGGTCCATAAATATCCACATTATGCCTTTGTCTCTACCTCTCTGTGGCTATAAATGTGTTTTTACGGTGGGGGTGGGGGTGGGGGCAGTGCCAGGGAGATAGGGAAGATGAAGCTGGGCAAAGAACTAACTAGGTCTGCTAGGTGAATGATACTGATCTCAAAAACAGACTTACGTGGAAACAAAAATACTGTTTGAAGGGGCAGACCTTTGAAATGGGACCTGAGAGAGAGTATATTAAAGTGTTAGGAGCAGGAAGATAGAAATAAACTGTGCTTTAATATGGACATTGGATTTAGAGCTGCTGAGTTTCTACAGAGTGATTTGTACAAAAGGGTGAGGTTTTTCTTTTTCTGAGTGTTTTTTTTAAATCAGAGCTATTTACAGATTTATTTATTTATCTTAAAGATTTTATTTATTTATTTGACAGAGAGAGACACAGCGAGAGAGGGAACACAAGCAGGGGGAGGGGGAGAGGGAGAAGCAGGCTTCCTGCAGAGCAGGGAGCCCGATGTGGGGCTCGATCCCAGGACCCTGGGATCATGACCTGAGCCGAAGGCAGACGCTTAATGACTGAGCCACCCAGGCGCCCCAGATTGATCTTTATTTATTGAAGTTATACATGGCCGTGTAAAGAACTGGAGTACTGATCCCTGCTTGGAAACTTAATGCTAAGAAGCCAGGCACCAAGGATCACATCTTGTATGGTGCCTTTTTTTTTTTTTAAAGATTTATTTATTTATTTGAGAGAGAGAATGAGATAGAGAGCATGAGAGGGGGGAGGGTCAGAGAGAGAGGCAGACTCCCTGCTGAGCAGGGAGCCCGACGTGGGACTCGATCCCGGGACTCCAGGATCATGACCTGAGCCGAAGGCAGTCACTTAACCAACTGAGCCACCCAGGCGCCCTCCTTTTTTTTTTTTTTTTAAAGATTTAATTGATTTATTTATGAGAGAGAGAACATGAGAAGCGAGTGCACGAGATGGGGGTAAGGGCAGAGGGAGAAGGAGCAGCAGACTCCCCACCGAGCAGGGTGCCCGAGAAGTGGGGCTCGATCCCAGGACCCCAGGACCAGGACCTGAGCTTCTGAAGGCAGACGCTTAACCGACTGAGCCACCCGG